TTGCTGGGTCGTGGTACCCACGGCAGCCAGTGGGGGTTCCCCCAGAGCCAGCAGCATAGAAACCAGCCAGGTACCCCCACTACGTCACACAGGGTATAAACCCAGAGGCAAAGACACATGAGCTGGGGGCAAAGTTCTCACTGGAACCCTAATGGACTAACACTTAACAAGTACCAACAACAAACCAAACTATTTTCAGCTGGAACTTGAGGTGCAGAGAGAAGAAGAACTGCTGAACACTTGTGAAGCAAGAGAAAGACCCTCTGACTGACATCGTGGGCAGTAAGAGACACTTGGAGGACACAGTGCCAGCAGTGTTTAATATACTGACACAAGCACAGGCTCCTGAGCAAGGTGAGAGGTGGCTCTACCCTCCAGGAGGAGGTGGGGCAGGGAGCAACCAGTCCTTAGCACCATCTGGAGCATGGTGCCCCCCCCCCCTCCCCACAGCCCTCAGAGCTGCACAGAGAGTATGGCGTGGCGCTCTGGTGGAGATTTAGAAGGCTGGGGCTTTCAGCAACCGCCACTGATGCAGTAGCAGCAGCAGGGAGAGCAGGGCCCTTTTGAATTTCCAGGCCCTGGAGTAACTGTCCCCTTGTGCCCCTCTTACCCCAGCAGCACGTCTGCATGAGTGCAGCACACCGGAGGGCACCTCAGTCAATCCTACTGCTAAGGCAAAAGTCTCCAATAACCGGGCACATGGCACATACACATGGAGAATGGAATCAACATGAGCAAGCACTCGAAGAAGAAAAGACAATCTTACTTTTCAGTAAGAGTTAACACAACATTCAGGGGTTTTTAATGAACACATTTTTTCAGAGACCTAAGTGGCACTTTTCTTGTCAGTTAAGTTTACTTAAAACTAACATGTCTACAGCAATGGTTCACTCACTTATATCCACATCCAAAAGAAGCTATTAAACATGACATTTTGGAGAAGCAAATAAATAATCATATTGTATCCTTGTACAACTCGTTAAAAAACATGTGAAACGCTCCCAAAGACAGCTGTTCCAAAAAGACACCAACCCCATTTTTTGGCTATATTTTTTATTTACTTCACATACTATGAACATATACATTACATGCTACAAAAAATAAAAAAGTAAAATTTAACTGTCAAGAAAGTGTATAGTGTTATAATACAATGGCATGTGTTCGTATATTTTTACTTCAAACTGGTTTGCTTAGCATCTTTCCCCAAAAAACCATTAAGAACATGAAGTGTTTTACTCAAATGATTAGAAATATTTGCATTAACAAGTACAATTGAAACAGATTAACAAGATTGAACAAGGTCATATATTAGTATAAAAGTCTGGGATTTATGGAAATGAAATACATATTAAAAAATAGCAGCCAAGTTGTACTTCGTTTAGTGTAATATAATGTGAAAATGCTCTAGGAGAACACAGTGTAGTTGAGCGTTCTGCTTTTCATGGTGTATTTCTAGAAACCATAATTATTCTAATTCTAGCACCTGCCTATGCACAATAAACCCAAATACTGAGAGAAACAACTAAAACTTGAATGACTACTAACTGTCGTATTAATCAGGTTTTTTTTGGGGGGGGTGTAGGAAGTTGCGCAAAAGAGGGAACAAAGGCCATAAAACAATTCAATCTACATATTTATGAATCATTCAATTTTATCTTTCCTGGTTTAAGACCTTGGTGAGAGGTTGAAGTATCAATATCTTGTACAAATGCAGACTTATCCTGTAGGCCTGTTAGCTGATGAACAAACTTATATGTCATTTGAAAACTTAGTATATTAGGTAGCTAAGAAAAGCTGTTTCACAAGAACTTATGCTTCTAGAATAACAGCAGGTATTAAGACTTTTGTGGGGATGATTGTTTTTCTGCTCTGTCACAGGTTATAATAAATGTAAAGTATTTTCAATTATATAGGCTTCACAAACACATAGCTACATAGTAATATGTTTGCATTCTTTAGTTTAAATGATTGTATAGGGCATTTATTTAGCAATAAAAATTCTGTTATACCACCTCCCCATGTTAAAATATAACCTGCGTATTAAGCCCATGTATTTCCTTAAAGGAAACTCTGTTATCCACAAAAGTTCGGGAGTGGAATCTTGTAGGCATGACTAAGCATGTGCAGGATGATTTAATTATGATTGGAAGAATCAGTTGAAATGGACTACATTGTGTTACCTTACTGAGAACATAACTCGCTTGCTTTTTTTTTTGGCAAAAGGTGATGAAAAATATATAATCTATGAGCAATTAATTCTTATGTAAAGATACCAAATTTAGAGATTGCCTGTATCAAGTATTCAATTCCCATAAGTAGCAAGATCAGGAAAAAATATGAATTAAATGTTAAGAAACTAACATTTTAACAGCCCATGATTAGCTCATCTTTAAGCACATTCAGTACTAACTCAGAAGCAGTCCCATAGTCAAGGACTGACGCCATAGCATCCCAACTAGAATATCAAGTTAGATTAGAAATGCAGTCACTTAATTACTTCTCTCCATCAAGGAACTGACAAAAACAGATGAGTTGTAAGTTTTCTACAGAGGGTTTAGTGATACTTTACAAAAAAAAATCAATGTTTATTAGGATTTATCTACAGTAATCTGCCCCTACCTGAAAATTGGATATACTGATCAATTAGTTCTAAGGTAGCGGAAGTACGTAACAGTTTTATTCTTTCCAGCATGTAATAGTTTTGAGGTAAAGTGTTATCAGTATTCTATTTTCTGGACCCATGCCTCTCAGCAGTAGCCTCTTTCATAGGAGCTAGCCCTTGAAACATTTACAACTGTTCAGAGACATTCTAGTGGTATTTAACTATTTGTTTCATGTCTAAGAGGTCTTTCAGCTTTATGGCATTTAGAAAAATCCTGTTTAAAATGTAGCCACAAATGTTACAAAATAACTTTGAATATTTGTGTCACTAGATCGCTGTATTTGGAGAACTTACAGACACAGGCAAGAGATAGTTACTTCATTGTTTTAATTTACAAAAATTACTGCTTCCATTCTGATTTTAATGTTAAAAAAATGAGAATGATTAGTAGAAAAAGTTGAAGATTCAAGTAGTGCATAACATAACCTAGTCAATGAACTGATTTTTATCATTAGCTATGAAGTAGTAGTTTACTTTATTATGCCTTTTTATAATCAGTCCAGAAGCACGTAAGTATTTTCTATTAGTTTATTACAAATAAAACCTTCTCATGAATTTACCATCAAATGCTTTACAGATGGAAACAAGCAGAGCAGTTCCAAAAGTTATTTTAAAATAAAGATAATATTTGGTTTGTTAGTTCAAGACATTTTACACTGATTTACTCTTGCCAATGAATAAAACTATTCACTAAGGATAAAGGAGTTATGAAACTGTCCCAATATAATTTAATTTTCTCTCTTACAACTGGCTAATATTCTCTGTCACTTTTTCAGAGCAATGCTGCATATTTTGGTATGTTTATGAATTAATGAGTAAAGTGCTAGGCACGTATTTGTCAGCATTGGTATGGAGGTCTACAATTCCTTAAAACAGTATTTTTGGGTAAAAAAATATCAGGATGTGTTAATATAACATCTCAACTTGAAGTTAGCTACTAGCAAAGTTTGAAGCAACAGTACTAAAGAAACCCATCTCTAGTGTCCTCAAACTCTTCTGAAGCCCTGAAAGAGGATTTGATCTCATTTACCATTGAAATGGTAGTTATCAGTAAATCACAAAGCTATCCCAATGTATGTTCTACATCTAAAAAGATTATTTGCATGGTGCAAAACATTAGGGCAAAGAAAGTAAGAATGAAAACAAAGGCAAAAGCTCCAGGATTAACTGGTTGTGAAATTCCTACCTATACATTGAATTTTCTAAGGTTGATTTGCATTGCCTGTGGAAGCAGCAACATAAGCAATGGGAATGGAGAAAGCTAAAACTCTAATCAACAGATGTATTGCTGCTTTCTCTACCTGCTGCTGCAAGTAAGGTACAGTGCAGGCATTATTATCAGCTATCATGTACTAGTTCTGCCATTTGACACACAGGTTATTTAGTTTCGTACCCTGAATAACACAAGTCTTGATTAAGGAATGGTGGTGTTCAGTCCCATGGGTTTGCAGGTATCAGAATGCTTGTATACGCAAAACTCCTTTCAACATCTGTAGGAACACAGTCTAAATGGCAGCTGCAGTAAAATACAGTGAGACCGTTCCCATCTGTAAGGAAAATTGTTGAGCCACACTCAGCTGAAGTCCTCATCGGGGTTCTGTTGGTCCAGCAGGCGGACATGCGTGAACGGAAAGTGACCACGTTTACCATTGCACTCGCCTTCCCACTGACCACTCACATTAATCTTTGTGACCTTAACCAGCTCACCGACCTGCAGGACAAGAACAAGTGAATGGTTATTACACCGTGCAGAGGAGGTTTAACACCTTGTTACCCTCATTTTGGTGCTGGCACTCTCCAATGGAAAATGCTACTTGCAGTCGGAAATAGTCTTTGGCAGAATAGCCTAATCCACATTATTAAGCTCCTTAGGAAAGCAGAAGAGCAGAGAGAGAAATGCAGCAGTGTAAGGACAGAAGACATCTACAGTGAACATTCCCTGCACCAGTCTCTTTCAGTGTGTTCTTGTGGCCCTCCTGTCATGGTAAATGAATAACTGCTGAACTAGCATTAGATACATGCATTAATCATGGGGGGACCGATAACTGAACGTAAGAATGACAATGGTTTGCAAGTGTCCAAAGGAAATGCATTACTACACTGGAAACAGAACAGCACTGTACAAAGAGACCCCTCAAATTCAACTGAAAGGTTATACAAAATGTTTTAAGAAATAATAGATCAGATACAAGCCCTGCTCAGGTGCCAACAATTCCTCAATGGCATCTTGCAGCACCCTGAGCATAAAAGTAAGTAAAAACAACAAATAGTCTAATAGCACCTTAAAGACTGACAAAACATGTAGATGGTATCATGAGCTTTCGTGGGCTCAAGCCACTTCTTGGGTTGTGCTCACAAAAGCTCATGATACCATCTACATGTTTTCAGTCTTTAAGGTGCTACTAGACTATTTGTTGTTGTTTAAGTTTTCCTGTTATAGACTAACTCGGCTCCCCTTCTGAAGCTTATAAAATTTAGTGACAATGACAGCTAAAGTGCAGTGGTGACGTTCTCTGGTTTAGGAGAACAAGTATCAAATTTTAAAAGTAATAAAGGGCAGTATTTATAGCATCTTCCATATGACTAAGCACTTCATAAACATTAAGACTCAGTCAGGTGTATGGTAAGCATTATCCACACTTGACAGACAGGAAAAAAGCAGAGAACTATTAGGTGATTTGCCCAAAGTTGTACAGTGAGTCACACCTTGCAAAATTAAATCACACTTACTATTTTAAGTGTTGCTCAACACAGAAGGAGTGAGGTAATATCTTTAAAGGGCCACCTTTTTTGTGAAATTTACCAGCTCCACCAACAAGTAAATTATTACACAATGCAGAAAACTATTTGATTTCTTGTTACCCTAGTTTAGTACAGAGATCTGATTAATGCTATAGACTGCATGCATTCCCTTCCCTCCCCCCTCCACCAGAACATTTTTAGCAAGTTGGCCAGCAGCCCAGTTCAGTCCCGGCCCGCACCAGGTCTGAGCTCAGACCCTCCTCCCAGTCAAGCACTGTTGCCACCTCATGCTGCTGCCTCTCTATCAGAGGCAGCAGCACAGGGCGACAAGCAGCCAGTCCATGAGGGAAGCTGGCTTTTAAACTGGCTCCCCTGGCAGACCAGGTCCCACCTGGCAGGGGGCTCCTCAAGAGTGGGACTGAAGCGCACTGGCTGCTGGCCTCATCTCCAGATACTACAGAATAGCCAAGTAACCTATAAGAATCCATGAGGTTAATCCACTATTCAATTAACTGATAATTAACATCCGTAGTTTGGTACTGTTCATACTGGTACTTTTCTATGAAAAGGGCTCACTTGCAGTCTCAAACAGGTCAAAAGCATGTGTGTCTCACCAGCAGAAGCTAGTCCTTGTGTTTCTAATATCCTGGAATCCACATGGCTCCCACTACACTGCGGATCAATTAATACGGCAGATATTTGATTACATACAAAAACTGATAATGTAATTTATTTGCAAAATCAAGCCCTTAAGAAATGGGAAATGCCAGATGTAAGACTGCTTGTGAGACTTTATTTCTATTCATTTGTGCACACATATTATGACAGTCTTTATTACATTACAAACACTATTTTATCCTCAGGATTCATCGAATTCAATGCACAGGATGGATGATGCTCAGGGAATGCAATAGATGTTTAAGACAAGAAGGAACCTTTATAATTATCTAATCTAACCACTACATGCAGACCTATGTCTTGTTGATTGCTTATCAACCGAATGCCACACTGAATATGTAGTTATGAATTTACTTATGGGCTCTATTACGATGTTTTTGTGAGCATCACAAACATTAATTTACCTTCATAACTACTCTCTGAGAAAGGATATCATTATTCCCATTTGACAGACAGGAAATCAAGACACAGGGAGAAAGCCAAGAATTTGCAAATGTCTACTAATTTTCTGTCTTATTAGAGATGATATTTAGAGTATTGGAATTGTTATAGTAATTCTATGTGTTTCTTAACACTGTACAGATATTAATGTATACATCTTCAACAACCCCGAGTATCAGATGGGCAAGTTATATTTATCCCCATTTTACAGAGGAGAAAATAGAAAAATAATGTGGCAGAAACTCAGGACCACCTAATTTTCAATTCGAGCATCACTGCTCCAAACGAGTTTACTAACCAGAATTGCTCAGCACCTGAGCTGTATTTCAGCTGTGGTCGTTGAGCATTCAGCCCTTCTGGAAATCACCTGCTACAATCGGTTCTTCACACAATGCACAATCAACACACAGCTTTCAGCACTGTCGCACATGCTTTACAAAGCTGGATTAGGCTATTTGACAGTGTAGTCAAGCACTAATATTTGGCACATAGACACCCAGTATCAGTAAGTGGCTGAGATTTGGGTCCGGGTTCTACTTGCACCTTTGTAGTCTGTGGTATTTCTCATTGGACCAAGCCTCCCAGACTGGGTTGATGGATCTGAGTAAGCAGGGCAGGTTGCTGTGTAGACATAACCCTATAAGGCTTTGTTCAGTAAAAAAAAGGTTGTGAAGGGGACAGTATTGTTACTACGAGTTGGTAGAAATTAGATTAGAATTAATGATCTTCTAGTTCTCTGTACAGTTTGTTTTCCCAAGCCCAGAGGTAATTTGACTGCGTTCGTACAGACGCAGCAGCAGTGTGCTGTTAGACATGGATGATCCATTTGGCTGTGTTCCATCCTCAATTTCTTGTTTGTGTGCACACTACTACTGTGAAAAACCAGGACAACAGCACATGCATAGTGACAATAGAATCCTGAAGGGGTACAGCAGCAAGACAAAAAATAAGCTGCAGCTTGTGAAGCATAGTCAGGCAATGGCTGGTTCTCACCAGCTTATAACTTTGACAAATGCAAACAGATTTTCATGAGGCCAACAAAAGCTTCCTCCTTACTCCCAAGGCTATCATCCTCTAAATGTATGTTTGCTCCAACCCATGGTTGTATTAGAGTTCTTTAGAAAAAAAACAGTAAGATTGTTATTTTTAAGTAACAGAAAGTTTTAGGCACCCTACAAAAAGGATTGCTGCTGCTTCCCAGTACCCACCCATGGATGTTTCCATTTCATGTAATTAGTGATGGATTATCCGTTGTGCCAAGGCACCTTCTCCATCTCATCAGCTTCCCCCTTTGGTGAAACAGGCCTGGGGTAAATCAACCGCTGCTTGCCTCACTAAGCAGCCTTTGTCTTTCCCCTTCTGCATTCCTCTGGCTGAATGGCCTGGTCAGGCATCAGGGCAGGTCTAAGGGGTGATGCTCCGACAAACAGAAGGAACTTCACTAGACACAAACACAAAGGGAGACGCTCTCCCCTCCCTCCTCGCTGGGGCTGGGTATCATCCTGGGCTTTCCCCTAGGGAGGCCCCCCTCCCCAGCAGATACTCAGGCTTATCCATTTCCCTGGGCAGAAGCACAACCACTGCACCCCCAAAGAGGCTTAGGCCCCTACTGACACAGCCTCTGCCTCAATGGGGGGGAGGGGGGAGGAGTGAGAGAGAGTGGAGAAGAGTTAAAAAGGTCTCAGACAGCCCTTTGTTGGATTCAGGTGTTCTTAACTGATCTGAGATAACCCCCTTCTCAGCTGATAGGGAAGAGGGCCTTTAACATTCATGGGCTTACAGCTTCCCAGATTCTCTTGCAGCTAGCCAGCCTGACTGTCACACTGTTTGGGAGTCCAAATATGCCTGAACAGCCAAAGGGGGGTAATTTTTTTTTCAGCCTCTGATCAATTATCGGCTAATGAATTATCAAGCTATGAATACTTAACTAGCACAGTTAAAAATTTCTTGACCTCAAGGATTATACCTTGACAAAGTTTACTGGCTTTGTAGCTAGGTCAAAACTCAGTGATCCAGGCAGGCTGAATCTGTGAGAACAGATTTGGACTCATGATATTGCAATAAACTAGGTAAATACAACTTAGATGGGGCTACTATAAGGTGGGTGCATAACTGGCTAGATAACCGTACTCAGAGAGTAGTTATTAATGGTTCACAATCCTGCTGGAAAGGCATAACAAGTGGGGTTCCGCAGAGGTCAGTTTTGGGACTGGTTCTGTTTAATATCCTCATCAACGATTTAGATATTGGCATAGAAAGTACGCTTATTAAGTTTGCAGATGATACCAAGCTGGGAGGGGTTGCAACTAATCTGGAGGATAGGATCGTAATTCAAAATGACCTGGACAAATTGGAGAAATGGTCTGAGGTAAATAGGATGAAGTTTAATAAAGACAAATACAAAGTGCTCCACTTAGGAAGGAACAATCAGTTTCACACAGAGAATGGGAAGCGACTGTCTGGGAAGGAGTTCGGCAGAAAGATCTAGGGGCTATAGTGGACCACAAGTTGAATATGAGTCAGCAGTATGATGCTGTTGCAAAGAAAGCCAACATGATTCTGGGATGCATTAACAGGTGTGTTGTGAGCAAGACACAAGAAGTCATTCTTCCGCTCTACTCTGTGCTGGTTAGGCCTAAATTGGAGTATTGTTCCGGTTCTGGGCACCACATTTCAAGAAGATTGTGGAACAATTGGAGAGGGTCCAGAGAAGAGCAACGAGAATGATTAAAGGTCTAGAGAACATGACCAATGAGGGAAGGCTGAAGGAATTGGGTTTGTTTAGTTTAGAAAAGAGAAGATTGAGGGGGGACATGATAGCTGCTCTCAGGTATCTAAAAGGGTGTCACA